TGATTTCTTTATATATATTTATATGTTTTTGTTTATATTTTTACTTTCTGCTATAAAGCATATCCCAATTAAAAAAAAAAAATTTAAATATCAAAATTCATAAATGTAGACCAAAATGTATTCTACTACATATTTTTAGTAAAAAAAAAAAAAAAATCCCAATAAGCGTATATTGATTAGTTTGCGCAAAATGTATAGCCTCTACAAACTATAGGACATATACTGGAATTTAAATTATTTTTTTTTTAAAAATACTAGTAATGGCAGCGATCAGCAACTTATAGCGGGACTGCGATATTGCACTGGACATTTTTACTTTGTATTAATGTCACTGGTTCCCACAATTTCAGTGATCAGTGCTAAAAATATGCAATGACACTGTACTAATGACACTGGCTGGGAAGGGGTTAAACATCTAGGGCAGTGGTCACTAAATGGCAGACTGCGGTCCGGAATCAGACCGAGGGACAGTCCCGTCCCAGACCACAGCCACGCCGCCGCCACCACCACCTTTGCCAGGTGCCCTCCCCCACCCAGCCATCGACGCCATCCCCACAGCGGGTGCGAGGAGCCGCAGATCGGTACCGAGGGGCAGGAGCTGCCCAAGTCACCATGTCAACAAGTGGGTGACCGCATGGCCTGCCAACATAAAAAAGACTCCCGCCCCCTGCCGCGAGCCACAGAAAGCAGAAGTCTCCGCACACCAACAAGCTGGGCAATCACCAGCTCCCGCCCCCCAGTCCCCCGCCCACTGTGAGGACGACACCGGCAGCCGGGTGGGAGGTCCAGAAGAGAACACCCAGCAGGGGTCCAGACAGGAGCGCCCCTTGGTGAACGGGGCATGAGGAGCTGAAGATCGGGACTGAGGGGCAGGAGCCGGCGACCACCCAGCCCGTCAACATGCAAAGACCTCCATTCTCTGCAGATCGAGACAGAAGGCAGGAACCCCCCACCACACCAGCAAGCCAGGCAGTTGCCCACCTGCTAGCCCCTCACACCATGCCCACCATGAGGACGACACTGGTGGTGGGCCAGAGGCCCAGGAGAGTACACCCCAAAAGGATTAGTGTCCATAGGACCGTACAGGGGAAGGCTTGTATTAAAAGGGACTCTGTGTTAGGGGCGCTGCTTTGTTGTGTTAAAGGATGCTGTGATGTGAAGGGGAAAAGAGGACACTGGGACTTCTTTAAAGAGGGGACTGTGATGTAGAGGGGACTACAGTCTGAAAGGTACGCTAAAGATTATAATGTACTGGGGGACTGTGATGTGTTATATTGCCAACGAGTTTCGGACCTCTGCTGGAAGGAAATTTTGCTAACCGGACCTCCGTAAATTTTAATTCAAGACCCCTGATCTAGGGTGATCAGAGGGTCAACTGTATGCCTAGCTAAGTGCTTGGTGTGCACTAGGTGGTGCTTTTACTAGGGGAAGTGAAGGATCGTGTTCCCAGCTTTGAAAGGACACACAACACGGTCTTTCACTCCCCCCGTCAGAACAGAGTTCTATTCTGTTTCCTGCCTGACGACTGGCGGATGACATCTGTTTGCCAGCAGTCGCAGATCGGCTGCTGATGTGAATGTTCACAGTAGAAGTGATCCACCTGTGGAATACACACCACTCTAACACACACACACACTTTTGCACAGGAGGTCTGCCCTGTAGCAGTAAAACTGCTGTAGTGCGGACCATAAGTGGTTAAGGATAGTGTCTGCATGCAAACTGCTGGTTTGCAGAATGGATAAAACCTAAGTAGTATTATAGCCATTTGTTCTAAACTGCATACAGAGCTGCTTCAGGCTTACTGGCCACCATCATCACAGTGTAAATTATCCTATGAAACAAGCTGTATGGACCAATGAGAGAGTGCAAACAGGATATGGTGAGGAGGTTGGGATACTGCACCATACATGCTAGTTATATTTAATGATGTGTATCCCATCCCAGGCAGCCTCTTCTACTAACAATCTTCCCTGCTGTGCCACTTCACAGCTGCCGGATACTGCCCTGAGCAAGCGGTTTTCCAGCGCTGTGACAGCCAACTACAGCTGCAGAGAAAAGTTGTGCTGCTCACCCACAACCTTCTCCCCTCTCTGCCATTCACAAAACTTCCCACATCCCACAATGCATCATATTCTGTGGACAGTAGAATCCCATTTTTCAACCACTCCACTGCCCGTTTACAGAACACAAAGTATTGTGGGACAATATTATTTGGAGTTCTGTGACTTTAGCGTTAAATAAAGAAAAATCTCCATTAACCCCTCCCTACGGCCACCTCCCAGCCCTTTAACAGGTTCTAAATAACAGGAGGTAGAGGCGGACATTCCGATCAAGTGACTGCTGTGATTGGCAAGCTTCTGGCCGCACGTATGCATCTGAAGCTTTCCAGTACCCACTGATTACTGTGCTGGGCGCGTGCAGGGAGCACGCCATCAGCATAGTAAAGTGTTAACATAGGGACACATATATGTGGTTGCTCACGGTTAAAGACCACCCTTAGAGAGACATATTTTTGGTTGCAAGTGCTGTCTGAATTGTATGTAGCTTCAACTACATACAGTACACAGTGCCAGGTTCCAGCTTTGAGACAGACTTCCTGTCTCACACCCAGAATAAAATCGAGTTGGTCTGAGCAGCGTTCACCCCATTCATAGGCAGGTTTATATTCTGTGAATTAATACAAAGCTTCCTCTGATTGCCTGGGGCGGACTGATGATGTCACAATCTCCAACTCAGCCAATCAGAGAAAGCTTTGTATTCATTCACAGAATAAAAAGCTGCCTTTTAATGGCTGAGCGACGCTCAATGTGACTCTGTTTTGTTCCGAGTGTGATACAGGAAGACTGTCTTACAGCCGGAACCCAGCATTGTGTACTGTATGTAGCTGAGGCTACATACAATTCAGACAGCACTTGCAACCAATGCAGCACTTGGTAAAGGAAACCGTTCATTTGGACCAGCCAGGTCCAAATGAACAATTTAAAGTGACAGGAAACCTGGAGATCAGCTTTTAAGTTAAATCACACAGTACCCCCCTTACTCTAAAATCATGTAATCATGAATAATTTGTCCTCCACTTACCATGTACTTTTGACAGTGGCATCACTCCAATTCAGTTTATTGGTGTGTGTGCGCGCTTATTAGTCTAGGATCTATAATCCAGTTGTGTAGAAAGCACAGTTGAATTCTGCATATGAATATAGAAAAGCATCTATAATATTTCACATTTTAACAACATATTAGTGTATGGATCAATATGTTATTACTAAAAAGGACTGAACTCAACTTATCCTTTTTAGCCAGAGCCCATATGATTCATCATATTACATAAAGACTAAACCGTGTCCTGATGTCACACTTTTTTTTTTTTTTTTTAAGCCAATTGCAAACAGATATGCACATTAGATAACTGCTAGAAAGAAAAACTGTGACAACCTATTTCTAAATATTCAGAATGAGGGTTAAAATGCAAAACCACGCCCATACTACATTTTCATCTGTGCCATTTATAATGTATTTGGGTTTCCACACCAAACAATTATATACACACATTTGCAGATGCTACTTTATATTTTATTATTTAAATAGATATATTTAAAACAGCCAGAAAGTTTACAGTAAATGAGATCTGTATGCATTTAAATACATAATATTTCACTAGGAAAATGCATGTCATTTATGTAGCCAAGGAGACCAGTACAGAATGTCCTTGCGTTTTGGCCTCCACTATCTAAACAGCTCCCATAAAAAGGAAAAAAAAAAAAAAAAAAAATCCAAAAACGTATAATTTTGCACCCTGCAAGGGATTGTAAAAGAGTTTACAGAATAAACCAAATTGTATAACAGCAAAATGATATAGCATCCCCTTGTGATCAGCTTATGAAATAGCAAGCATGACCTTTCAACCATTTTACACAGTAAAATAATATTGTAATATTTCAGCAATAGTGACTTTATTTTTTTTTTATACTTGACTGCTTATTATGAAGATGAACATCACACACAGCTCACAGTCACATCTTATCCTTATCGTATAATTTGTTAAATAAATAGTTCCAAATATACAGCTACAACTGGATCAAATTATGACTGGCATATTACATATGGACCTTTAATATGGTCTTATTGAAAAGAACATTATGCTTTCTAAGCATGGTAAAATGAAAGCAGAAAGCATGACTGATAAAAGTTTGTTGAAATATAGAATCTGCTTTCCTTTTAAATGAACCAAAACAAATACAGAGCATAACAAATGTAAGGAAACAAAGTAAAAAACAAATCATGTGAAAGGCTATACAGCCAAAGTAAGGACGGCTGATGTATGCCGGGAATACCAGATTGTGGCTAAAGGGAAGGGACCGTGCCATGCCAAATTCATTGGTGAAGCAACTGGCATTTTAAAGTTCCTTTCATGCTAAACTTCTAACATAGATTACAGTTTACTGGTGTATGAGGAGGGAACATCTTGTACCGTCTGTTTTATTGGGAAGCGCTGCACTTTATTTTAAGTTTTACTTACATCTGTATCAATGTTTTCCCCTAGCAAGATATCTGACAAGCATGCTGGGAGATTACACAAAAAGAAAACAATCCAGGGCTGATGTATGGAAAAGGTGCTGTAAAAAATGTCTTTTTGCCCATGACAATATCAACTTCCAACTGTAACTTCTACAGTCTGGGTCATAAAATGAATCAACAACTCTGGCTGGTTCCTACAGGCAACAAGACATTTTCTTGAAAGCACACTTTATATATCCATGTAGAGCTGAAACATAGACAAAGAGAATATATCCCTTTAGTGAGAAGTGTTTTTCTATGGCAAGCCCTGTTATAAACTTCCATTCATTTGAAAGTAGTGTGACCACAAAGCTCACAATCTATTGTTGTAAACAAAAAGGTTTTTTCCCGTTAATTTCTGGAAAAGTCAAAATGCTGATGTTTAAAGAAACAGGAACAAGTGGATTCCCAGTCTGGCTTTGGAAAAAACTGCATTGTGGAAGTTAAAATTTTGGTTGGTACAGGGAGACCCGTCCACTAAGGCACCCTGACGCTATCTGACAGTGGGTAGGAGAGAACTTAGTTGTCAGGACAACATCCCTATGAGAATATAGGGAGCGAATTTCTTGTAGAGTCCCAGCTTCTTTAGGTAAACAGTCTACAAGCTCACTGCACTGGGTATCAAATCCCAGCAATCGGATCCCATAGCCATGAGGAGAGGCAATCATGCGTCCGTCTGGGCTGAAACATAGTTCCTTAATGTAGCCACGGCCCACATTAGCCTCTTCAATATAGTGGGTCAGACGCAAAGAGCATCGAGGAGAGATAGGACGTACAGGGGCTCCTTCTTGAAACTCGTATACACAAGTCCACTGCAAGAACAAAAACAAGGGAAACAATTAAGGATACTACTCAAAAAATACAAGATATTTATCAAACCATCATATTTAGCCCTAGAGGTAGCTGTGTAACACTGGTTTATTCATTATTAAGGGACATTGTGGGGCCAGGGGACACATAACTGGATGATAATCTGTTAGGCTAGATTCACACTTATGCAGGTTGCGGTTTAGCCGTTCCTGCATCGCATTTAAAGCATTTTGTAATTTTTTTTTTTTCATTTTTCTTGTTGGTAGGCAGATTTAAAATGCATCAAAAATGCGGGAAAAATGCATAAAAACACAATACATGCTTTTCTGCAGTGTTTCCATTGAAGTCTATAAAAACAAAAATGCAACTTTTTGCGTTCAATAAAGTCCATGACCCTTTCCAAAAAACGCACTGGGTGAAAACGCACAGGTGTGAACAGGTCCCATAGGAAATCAGGTTAAATGGACTGTACTGCGTTTCTGCACACACTACAGCAAACACTTAGGTGTGAACCTAGAGTGTTTGAGTATGTAATGTGTATGTTCTTTAGCAACAAATCCATCTAACGTTTCAAAAGTGTCTATATCACTTCACCTGCCCAACTACAAATACAGCTTTTGAACCAGGTCTAGACCTCGTATAGTACTTGAAAGAATGAGACTGAAGACAACAGTTCCACCGGTTTACCGTAGAGGTGATAAGGGACCAGATCTTCACCAATCATCTTTATGGTGAGGAAGTAAATAAGCCATTTTTAGCATAGAAAAGTGCTCAGATCAAAACCAATCTGAATTTCATCGAATGCTTTTAAGGGCAGAGGAGACATTTGGGGTCTAACAGACCCCAGATGTCTCAGTAAAGCAGACCAGTCATTGCTTATTGCTATCACAATGGATGTTTACATTCCTTGTGATAGCAATAAAAGTGATCAAAAAAGAAAAAAAAAAAAAATTAGAGAAAAAAAAAAAAAGTAATACAATGTATTGGTCCCGCGTAGATAAGAGTCAGAGCAATAAATCTAACACCAGATCTCCAGTGTAACTCTAAACCATTAACCTGTAAAGGGTTTTAAAGTGTCACCTATGGAAATTTACAAGTACCATAATTTGGTGCCATTCCATGAGCGTGCACAATTTTAAAGCACGACATGTTAGGTACTTTTATCTATTTACATCATCTTTTATATTTTAGCAAACAATTGGGAATTATACTGTGTTTGTGCAGTAAAGTTCATTAAAGTGTATATTTTCCAAAAAAATCGTGTTTGAAAAACCGCGCTGCACAAAAGTCGTGTGACAAATTGCAAAACCCATTTTATTCTTTAGGGCCTCTGCTCAAAATATACCATTTTTGGAGGTTCTAAGTAATATTCTAAAAAAAAAAAAAAAAAAAAAAAAAAACAAAGTTTTCTTGTACATTTTATCTACCTGGAATCCAAAAATATGGTACACTTCTGCAATTTTTTTCCGGGTCCTGCTAAATAAATAAGGTCCAGGACAGTTGCAGTAAATGCAAGCCTTACCATCACTGATGCTGCCCTGCTATCTATGCCTTCTGCTGGAGACCAGAAAAACCATAGGAGCCACAACCTGACACTAGAGTAGTAGGACAGCAGCAGTGACAGTAAGGCGTATTACCACTACAGCTGTCGGAAAAACAGGGCTATGCCATGGACTGCTGCCACAACCTATTGCTATTGCTGGTGTTCTGCTACTCATTCATTTAATGTTAGGCTGTGGCAGCAGTCTAATGAAGCACATACATCCCAATGTTTTGAGGTGTGTGTTGTAAGCCAGGAGGTCTTCCAAGTCTGCAGCTTTTCAGTGACTGAGGGTGTAGGTCTGTTGCCAATGAAAATTTCTGTGTGCTAATCACAAAAAAAAAAACCAGGGCAACCTGCAGCTATAAAATCAAATGAAACAAGGCAAACTACAACCTTTGTAGGCAAATGGTCTGTAAGCCAGGTGTATCCAGTCTCACATTCTGCAAAGCCATATTGGAATTTACTCTATTTCCCTCACTACCCCCAACAGTCTAAAAGGACACCAAACTATACATTTGTTAAAAGGTTTGAGGACTCCTGCTATAAATCATTTATCCTGACATAGAAAACCAGCACTGAAACTGGAATTCAAACAAATATTACACCAACAGAATGTAACCTGGAAGCTCTCACCTCTTGGTCATCAGTATTGCTAGAACAGCGAAGAAGCGTAGCCCATCCTTTGGGGTGAAGTTGCAAAGATGTAATGCAGTTGCCACGGTCCCTCTCTCCAGGAACCTCTGGTGTTAGAACCTCAAGGCTGTTACGAGGGGAAGCACCTGTGCCAAAGATAATATATAAAAAAAGGTACATTTCTCATTGCACGTTTGGTTTAATGTTGCTAAAAAGCATAGGGTGAAGACTCCCAGTCCTGCCACTATAGCTGAATCCTGGGACATTCTGATTGGGCAAATCTCCAACAGCTTTTAGGAAGGCTAAAGCTTGCCCCATTCCCTGCACACATTCCTATTGTACCATGAACATACTTTAACCGCCTTCTGCCCGCCATATAAGGTAATGATGGGCGCAAGGCAGTTCTCTCGTTCTGGAATGACGTCATATGACGTCTTCCCATTCTAACCGTGCGTGCGTGCGTGCCGATCGGTGCTGCGCTGTGTCCCTGGGACACAGTGGATCACCGATCAACGGAAAGAGCCGAAGACGTCGGCTCTGTCATGTGATCAGCTGTGTCCAATCACAGCTGATCGCATGTAAATAAGGAAATGCCAGTTATCGGCATTCCTCTCCTCAAAAGCTGTCACACTGACAGCTCGTGAGAAGAGGAGAGCCGGTAATCGGCATTCCTCAGAGGGGACATGTACACTGATCATCAGGGCACTGATGATTAGTGTGATCTGATGATCAGTGTAGCCCCATCAGTGCCCATCAATGCCACCTGTCAGTGCCCATCAGTGCACATCTATGCCACATATCAGTGCCCATCTGAGCTGCCTTTCAGTGCTGCCGCATAGTGCCACCTAACAGTGCCAGTCAGTGCCACCTAACAGTGCCATATGAATGCTGCCTTTCAGTACCCATCAGTGATGCCTGTCAATGCCCATCAGTGCCACCTACCAGTGCCTCCTCATCAGTGCCACCTATCAGTGCCCATCACTGCAACCTCATTAGCACACATTAGTGAAGGAGAAAAATAATTTATTTACAAAATTTTATAACAGAAACATTTTTTATTTGTTTTTGGTTTGTTTAGCAAAAAATTAAAAAACCCAGAGGTAATTAAATACCACCAAAAGAAAGTGTTGCATGACCGCGCAATTGTCATTCAAAGTGCGTCAACGCTGAAAGCTGAAAACTGACCTGGGCAGGAAGGGGGTATAAGTGCCCTGTAGGCAAGTGGTTAAAACATTAGGAATGGAAAGGCTGGAAAGGGCAGGCAACATTACCAAACACACGAGAGCTCTGCCTCATCAGAATGACCTGGGATTTGGCCAGGCACAAAGCAGATTAGAGCGGCAGTCATTTTAGTTCAGTTGCCTGCATTGACTCTGAGGCTACCTTTATTAGGCTGACCACATACAGTATTTGCCAGCTTCAAAAAGACATCTAAACATTCTTGCTGCAGCTTGATGCTTCCACAGGTCTCTCTACAAGCACTATTTTTCCAAAGCGATCATGCATGAGAATATCTCCAAATGACGGCATATGTGTTGCCAAGCCTGTAATTTAGCTGATTATCGGTGTTCAGAATGTATCACAAAGGGTCAGTGTTACCTATGAATTCAAAGGCTTTGTATTTTAGAATTATGTGAAGTTTCTTCCATGCAGTTTGTGACTGCCCATGCAGGGCAGCGGAGAAATGTCTGTTGCCACAGTGTGCTGCAAATGCATCTACCAGTATTGCACCATTTACAATTACATTTACTGCCATTTCTTGAACAGAAACTGCAGTAAATAAAAATTAAAGAACATGATGATGATATTTTCAGAATAAAAGCTAGTCCAGATGCATTGCATGGCAATTACTAGATGGCTAGGTCTTGAGGAGAGATAAAGAGACAGCACAGCACATTGATGGTTTGGCTGGCAGATTAGGAGGAGGAGGCAGGGGCTGTGCAAGCTCTGTGTGTATTGCCTGTCACTCTTAACTCTTGATCAGTGATGTCAGATAGCTAGGCAGATAAGCAGGGCTAGCTGTCACAATAGTTCAGCAACACCCCCAAGTATTTCAATGGGGGCAAGTGCTTTGTGCACAGGATTCCCTGGAGGTATAACACACTGCCCCCCCCCCCCCCCCCCCCCCCCCCCCCCCCCCCCCCCCCCCCCCCCCCCCCCCCCCCCCCCCCCCCCCCCCCCCCCCTCTGTCTTGTTCTGGTGATAGCTCTTTATGAAGTATTAGCACACAAGCACACCTGGTGAGAGTATTCTTGCTGAAAGACGCATACTCTATATAGTCTGGTTGAAAAAAAAGACACAAAAGTCCATCTAGTTTAACCAATAAAAGAAAAAAAAAAATACAATCCTATATACACACAATCCTATACCCACAGTTGATCCACAGGAAGGCAAAACCCCCCCCAGCAAAGCATGCTCCTGCAGGGGAAACAATTCCTTCCTGATCCCCCAAGAGGCAAATTGGATATTCCCTGGATCAACTTTATCTATAAGAATATAATAACTATATTATGTGCATTTAGGAAAGAATCCAGGCCTTTTTTTTTTTTTTTTTTTTTTTAAGCAATCCACTGAGCTGGCCAGAACCAACCCTTGAGGGAGTCTATTCCACACTTTCACAGCTGTTACTGTGAAGAAACCTTTCCATATTTGGAGATTAAATTTCTTTTCCTCCAGACATAAAGAGTGCCCCCCTTGTCCTCTGTGATGACCTCAGGGTGAATAACTCTACACCGAGTTCATTATATGAACCACTGATGTATTTATACATGTTGATCATATCCCCCCTTAATCTCCTCTTCTCAAGAGAGAATAAATTCAGTTCCTCTAATCTTTCCTCATAGATGAGCTCCTCCGTGCCTCTTATCAGTTTGGTTGCCCTTCTCTGTACTTTTCTCCAGTTCCCCAATGTTTTGTTTGTGAATTGGTGCCCAAAACGGAACTGCATATTCCAGATGAGGTATTACTAATGATTTGTACAGGAGTAATAGGATATCTCTCTCTGGAGTATATAACTCTTTTAATACAAGAGAGGATTTTGCTCGCTTTAGAAACTGCAGCTTGGCATTGCATGCCATTATTAAGCTTGTGATCTACCGGAACTCCCAGATCCTTCTTCACCATAAACAAACATCACACGGGATGTGGCTTTGCTACATATGTATGCAACAATCTGCGGTGAGGGGGAGCTAGTGTAGTATCGTTCAGGAGGTGTTGCTTGGAGGATATTGGTTTAAAACATGTGACAGGCATATTCTAACACTGGATACAGGGCCGTCTTTAACGCAGGGAAAAAGGGGCAGCTGGCCCAGTCATTGTTGTGAGGCCCAGAGCAGCTGCCCCTTCAGCCCACACTGCCAGCAGACAAGGACACAGACAGACGCAGTGGAGAGGTGTGGTCCCAGGCTGCTGAAGTAGTGTGGGCGAGCGGTCAGAGAGGAACAGGGCACTGTGGAAAACAAACCCATGGTCAACGTTTCTGGCGCTCAGTACTGGCGGGAGCGGAGAGCCTCCAGACATACAGAATGTAGTAAACACACACAGGTGCAGGGAATTCTGGGACTTCACCAGTCTCCAGCGACAGTTTCTGCCTCTGCCCAAGTGGTTGGTTCCAGACAGGAAGAGTGGAGTGGGTTGTTCTCAGCTTCTCTCAGTGGGTGTCTCATCCAGCTGTCACCTGGGCTTTCCCTTGGTTCCAGCAGAGAGTAAGCAGGTATTTCCGGGCGCTCCCTTGAGGGTTTGTGTGGCTTACTCCTCATCAGTACACAAGAACCTTCATCTGTCTATCAGCCCAAGCTCCCCTCCACCCCTCCGTCAAAGAGGCAGATGTGACTTTTAACCATCCAAAGACTTTCTCACTCAGTTTCAGACAACTGGCTGTTTGTTCTCTGGAAGGATACATTGAGGTTGTTTGTTTTTCTAAGGATACAGTGTTTTACAATAAAAGATACTTAAGCAACCTACAATAACTGACATCCTGCAAGCTGAGGTAGAGCCGTCACACAGGTTATGCATCCCACAGAGACTCCCCGACTTACGAACATTCGAGTTGCGAACTTTCACAGATACGGACCAGACAACTCATGGGGCCCCTGAGCAATAGGGGATCATGGGGCCCCAGTGTCCTTGCCCAAACTCAAAAAAGCCTATGAAAAAGGTACCAGGAGCATCTCATGGGGCCCCATACTGATCCCGGGCCCTCGGGCAGTGCCAGAGTTTCCAAATGGTCAGTCCGCCCCCGATACGGAAAGACCTCACATTACGAACATTCGTAGATGTGAACAAATTGTAGAAGTAGCTCACGTGTCCGGAAGCAAGAGGAGAAACAGTGGTGATGTGGTGGGGACTGCTAAGAAGCACAAAGAAATAACCATGGAAACAAAAGGGAAAAAAATTGAGAAATTGGACTTAGGTGAAAAGATGGTAGACATCGCTTGTTCTTATAACATGAATCATTCAACCATTGGCACAATTCTAAAGAACAAGGCCAAGCTCATGGAACATGTGAAGTCTGCTGTGCCTATGAAGTCAACAATAATATCCAAAAAGCGTGGTAAAGTGATATAGGAGATGGAGAAACTTCTCAGTGTGTGGATGCAGAATCAGCACTGAGTCCCACTCAGCTTAAGGCTTATTCAAGAAAAAGCTAAACGCCTGTTTGAAGACTTGAAGAAAAAAAAACGGGGTGAACAGTGTGCATCTTTTACTGCCAGTCATACATGGTTTATCAGATTCAAGGCTAGAGCCAACCTTCTCAATGTAAAAGTAAGTGGTGAGGCTGCGAGTGCAGATACCATAGCTGCCCAAGAATTTCCAGCAACACTTAGAGAAATTATTGACGAAGGTGCTTATTTACCCCTACAGGTTTTTAACAACAAGACAGGACTACTGGAAGAGGATGCCAGAATGAAGTTACATCAGTAAAGAGGAAAAGGTGATGCCAGGCTTCAAAGCAGCAAAGGACAGACTTAATTTGTTTGGTGGCAATGCTTCCGGTGATATGAAACTAAAGTTTACCATTCAGAGAACCCAAGAGCCCTCAAAAACATAGCCAAGGGCTCTCTACCTGTTGTGTGGAAGAGTAACTCCAAAGCCTGGGTTACACAGGCCATTTTTCAGGAAGGGTTTTTCCACCACTTTATCCCAGAGATAGAGAAATACCGTTTGGAGAAAAATATCGC